CTACAACTGCGACTGCCACTGCTGCTAGTAGTATTATGACGACGGCGAGAGACAAGCATTATCAGAACCGACATTCATACATGATAGAAGCAGAAGCAACAAGACGAGCCGTGTAGCCTACAGGCCGACCGCATTGTTTGGGGCCCGGGGCTTAGCTGTCTTGCGACTCAGGCTTTGTGTTGGACTCGTCCAACGCTTCGACGATTTCTGTTTCTGATGGCACGTCGACTGTAATGTGACAGTGCGGGAACGATTGTTTTGTGACCTGAATTTCTGTCAATTCCTCACCAGGAAAGCTGATTGTGCGCATGGTTGAAACACGCAAGGAGGAATCGAGCTCGTATTAAATGACCGGAGCTGCTACTGAGATCATGAGATGAGCTTCAACATCATGGAGGCGGAGAAGGCCCTGCTATCGTCAAGCTGGCGAAGGGGAAAACCCCACACTCTGAAATTTGCCAGTGTGAGAGCACAAATTCCCATGCTCCTTTCAACATGAACATGTGAAGAACCGAATGCAAGGCCCGCTGGAAGTCAAGAGGGCCTCCTCCAGAGGACTTCAACAAGTCGCTCACAAGGCCTGCCTGGAGACCAACTCTCCCCTTACTGCATGAGTCCCCAATTTGTCTTGCTCGGAGTAGTTGAGGGCTGTTGTTTGCTCAAGTGTCGTTGCCCGACAATGTGCTGGCATGCATGATGCCTGAAACGCCTGAAGCACGGTCTCGCGCAAGCCCCGATCGAAAGTGTGCAGCCCCGTATTCCAGGCAGCAGCATTTGCGCGCGATGCGAACCTACGGCCAGGTTCCGGCCTTTGCCCAATCTGCCGCAGCGGTTCTTTCGGCTTGATTCGCGGGATTGAGCAGGATGGCCGTGGGCAGTGAAGTGCTTCGGAGCTGGCTTGAAGTCGTGGGCCGGGGTCGGGACCGTCGGGGCCCCGCAAAGTGCAGGACGTGTCCCTCACGCGGGCCAGAGAGAACCTTAATGGTCCGGTGAGCGTGGAGCTGCAGCGACTTCCTCAGGGCATCCGTGAATCTCTTTTTCGTTTCTTCCGACTGGGAAAGACGCTTGAAAATTGGAGCCAAGAAGACAAATCCTGAGCGAAGTACGATAGTCACTTTGCATGCATGTGCTGTGTCGTAGTTTAGGTTGCGCATGCGGCAGATTCAATCGAGAGAAGTCGGTTCTGTGGCAGGCTACAAGACGTCAGCACTTTAGGTCGAGTAGTTGCGGATGCAAACGCAAGTTGCTGCTAGAACTAAGAACTAGCCGCCTGTTTTTCTCGTCTCACAGAGCCGCATCCCAGGTCGGACATCGATAGCAGCCCCATTCTCAAGCCGCGGTTGTGGTCTCCAAGATTCGATCAGATGGTGCCCTCCTCAAGCTCCAGCTGGGAACAGCTTCAACGCCTGATCATGTTATGTCGTCCATGGACTCTGTATGAATAGCATTGCGGTTGTTGACACCGAAGCCGGGGAATGTCATGTTACTCCTGCTATGCAGAGATCAGATAATTGAATGAGTCACTGAAGATTCTGGGGTCAGTAGTTGTTGCTGTGACATATGCTGGGGTCTAGTCACCAGTGTGGGTGTCGGCTATTCCAGCTCGCAGCTTTACCACGACTACAACAGCTAACTGCTACAACTGCTGCTGCTGCTCTACTACTACGT